TTCCATTTCGTGAAAATTCCCATTTGTTTTCTGCGTCTCTTAATTTCTGGCCATGATGTCTGCTCGGACTGATCGATAAAGCTCATGCAGATGAAGTACTTGAAGCCTATGAAACTGTACCATGAAGTGTTGAAATCAAATGAGCTCAAAAGAAGCTGTTTGCTTGGGTTGGATGTTGGTGATAAGTACGTGGGTCTATCTGTTTCCGACGCTGATAACAAAATCGCATCACCTTTAAGGTTGATGAGGCTGCTTTTGTATCTGTCACAAAACCGTGTATGTAGGAGCTTGCAAGTTTCTATATGTTGCGTTATTTGATTTGGATTTTTAATTATGTGCAGTGTCCTGGTTCGGAAAAAGATGAATATTGACTTGATAGCTAGTGACTTCCAAAATTTGGTGAGTACCTGCTCAGCTTTAATCAATGTGGTGCCGTATTCATTTCCCGCTCTAGGAATTTTGATGTGAAAAATTGAATGACGCTAATATCTATTTAGACTAGCATGTACCAGCTTATCTATAATGAAGAAGGAATTTTTCTTGTATGTAAGTTTTCAGATGCAAGTTTGGTCGTCATTATCTAAAAAGTAATAATTGCATGCTCATATCATGCACTATTTTGTTATTCACGTTGATCTTCACATATTGATTTCTTATTATCACCATCATATTTTAGGAAAAATGTTTACTGTTCTGAAAGGTCTTACATTTAACATTTCTCTGCCCGAGATGTTTGGGTTGGTTCAGGTTATCTATTTACGTGTTAAAAAATGTTTCACAGAGTGGCTCAAACCTAATTTCTAAAGTTACCCGGAGAACATGCAGCATAGTTCTTTGTGATGAAGAAATTTTTGCTGATAATTTTGTGTGCGCATGCAGATCTCTAAACTATCCTTGTCAGGCTTAGTAATCGGCTATCCTTTTGACAGGCAGAGGAGCAGTCCAGATGTGTGTTACTATCTCATTCTAGTCATTTTTCTTGTCAAACAATTTCAGTCACTATGAATTTCATTTTGTACCGAGTAGTCATATGATGAGTAAATCATTTGCAGGCAATACAAGTGAAGCTTTTCATTGATGACCTAACAAAAACTGGGAAATTTGGTGATTTGAAGTATACCTTTTGGGACGAGTGCTTCACATCAAAGGTGAAAGCTACATATTTCTTCTTCATTTCATATAGTGAGTACTATCCCACATGATTTATGACATTTTGCCACTTTGGTTTTGTACATCAAGTACTAGCTTTGGGGATTAGTAGCATTTGAACATGGGATGGAAAAAAATTTCCTGCTTTTATGCAGTAGCTACACTTGTTCTACAACCTGTAAAATATCTGATTGCACTTCATATTTCTAGTCTCAATGCCGTGGAGTACTATGTTATGAAAGAATAGAATTATGTTCCTTTCAGCATCAATATGTTTAATTTTGTTGTTTAATGTTGCATTGGTTATTTCTTTCTTCCCCATCATTTACAAATCAGAGTATATAGTCATTTGTCATAGATGAGTTTCTAACAGATATGGTTATGGGATGTTCCAGAGTGTCGAATTTCTCTTGAAGCCTCTATCATTGCATCCCGTGCAATTTAAGACAATTATGGACAAATTTGCTGCCGTTGGTATCCTTCAGGTGATTTTGTTTCTTACGAGGCTGTCATGCTTGTAATGCGCATCTCTTAAAGAATTGATTGAATAACCGGAGCACTTTTTTTCTCAGAGTAAATGCAGTAGTTGTTTAGTTTTAGGCATGGGCCTAACTGGGAAGATTTGGCTTCATTCTATAACAAAATTATGAGATGCCACAAGTGGCATTACCAGTCAGCCTCCTTACAGAACCATTATTTCTTCATATTTTGCTAAACTAATGAAATCGACACTTCCGATTGAAGATCTTCGAATTATTACTTTTCTCTATTGTGTTGAACATAGTAAATTAATTCATGCAAGCTAATGCCATTTTGGGGCCTGGCAGGGTTACCTGGATTTTGCTAACCGGAGTCGAGATCAAGAAGCAGAGATTTCCCAAAACGAAAAGTTTTCAGAGCTTCTCAACGAGGAATGGCGTAATCCAGAAAATTAGTTGTTCCTTTTTAAACACTTCGGCAATTAAGTTGTAAACTAGTACTGTTACTATCTGCACGAGAAGTATTGAAAACAATTCTGTCAACAAACAAAATAAAAATTCATAAATATAAGAATTTGACATTATTCAATATTTTTGTAGATTTAAGCAATTTTCGACATTGTCGTAGACAAAAGCTTAGAAAATATCTAGAAAAATCCCCACTATTTCATTCAAGTGAAGAAGATGAAGATCGTATATATTCATATTAGCTCAAAGCTAATAACCGCATGCTCCAATGACTGAGCGACACGTGTCCATGTTTAACTATCTAAAACAAATTAAAAATGCAACACGCCTTAGCCAAACAGTCTGCACTTACGACTTACAAAAGGAAAAGAGAAATGAAACAGAAAATGTAAAAAAGAAGAAAATGTTTTCTTCTATTCCTTCATCAGGCACGTCAATATACATGTGAAACTTCATGCTTGATGATGAATTCCCGAGTCGGATGATGAACATCCCAACCCCTCAAATGGGAATGTGAGGATTGGGATACATTCACAACTTGCACACTATAAGATATGTCTGCCCTAGAGAGATTCAATTACAGAAGCCGACCAATTTCCAAAGTCATGAAGTGGAGAAGATTGTTGAGATGATAGGTTTAGACCTTGTGGTAAAGGTGTTACCACTGATTTGGAAGTATCAAGACCCAAATCTTAGACTATGTCTAGAATGTACTTCCTATAACTCAAGTGTGTCTTAAAAAAAAAAAAAAAAAAAAAAAAAAAAAAAAAAAAAGTATGTCTCTTCTTGATCTCTATAAATCTTCAATCCCAGAATGTATTTTGCTTGCGCCATGTCCGCTATAATGAAGAGACCATTAAGGTAATGTTTGAGATTCTAAATGTCTATCAAGGAGACACCAGTGATAAGCACATCATCCACCTATATAAGAAGAGAAAAGAACTTAGAATCTGATTTCTTAATGAATAAACAGTGATCTTGAGGAGACTGAACATACCCATATGCTATGAGCTTTTCTGAAAATTCAATATTCCATTGTCTAGAAGCTTGTTTCAAGCTATAAAGGCTCCTTTTCAATAAGCATACTTCACCCTTTTGTGCCTTGAAATAACCCTTAGAGGACAGCATATAAACCTTACTTCATCCAAAAATCCGTGAAGAAAGGCATTGTTAATGCTTATGTGATGCAATTCCCACTTAGGTTGAGTAGCCAAAGAAATAAGGAATCTCACTGGAACAAGTTTGGCAATTGGAGAAAAATTGTCCATAAAAATCCACACCTTCCTTCCGTAAATATCCCTTTGCCACCAACCGAGCTTTGAACTTGTCTATGCTTCCATCACGATTTTTGTTTTTTTTCTTTTTTTTTTTAATTCTGTAAACCCACTTTAAGCCTATGGCCTTCTTTCCACAGGGTAGCTTTGTAAGTTTCCAAGTATCATTGGTATCAAGTGCCTTCAACTCATTGGTTATAGCACTGACCCACCTTTTATCTTTAATGGTCTGCTCATAAAACATTGGTTCTGATTCTGACTTATGAACCTCAGCCTTGAAGAGATCAGCTTCTTGAACATTATCTGCTGCCTTGGGGTTGTTGACCACTTAGTCTGATAACAATGTAGGAGATTGTCTAGGTCTGATGCTTACTCTTGTTTTCTCTTGCACTCTAATGTCAGCCTTCTCCCTTTTTTTAATTTCAATTACAGGATTCTCACCATCTCTGAATATTTTATGTACCATAGGTAGTGAATCAGGTGTAATTTGCAATGAATCCTCATAGAATGGAAACTTATATTCATAAACAAGACATCCCTAGAGAGAAAAACTTCTTTTGTATCTAGATTATAAACCCCATATCATTTGATCCTAGAAGCATAACCCAAAAATGCAGAAGTTGATGCTCTTACATCAAATTTTCTCCTATGTGACATATTCTCTTTTGCATAGCATAACATCCAAAGACTTTGAACATGTTGTATGCTGGCTTTATCCCATGAAGTAATTCATAAGGACTTTTCCATTGTAACAAAGCACTTGGTAAATTATTTATAATTTGTACTGCAACTCGCAAACTGTATGGCCAAAGATTTCTTTACAATTTAGCTTGATAACACAATAATCTGACAACCTCTAGAATACACATGTGATTCCTCTCAAACACTCCATGTTGAAGTATACTGTAGAATCGCGACTTTGTGTTACTCCCAATTACATTTTGAATGAGATGTGTGTTTTTAGTCAAGTATATGTTCGTAGTTTATTAATTTATGCGAACATAATTCCTTTATTTTACATTATAGATAATATGGTTCGATGTGTCAATAAAAAGATCATATTATCAGTGTCTTGTAAAATTGGGCATGTGAATTCAATACTTATTTAATATGGTGCCTTGTAAAATCGTATACAAACTCATATGGATTGAAATTAATACTATGCATAGTACAAAAACCCTGAAACCGACGGTACAAAGACTAATAGTAATATGTCTATTTGAATAAAACTTTGATGCAAGGAATCTGGTCAAAGACCAAATAATTAGAAGGAAAAAGAAAAGAAGATAAAATAAATTGTGTATACACTATGCTTCACCCTGAAAACACACATGGTGATTAAGCAGAGCATCACAGTTCACATACAAAACCTATTCTGCTTTTAGTATGTTGTTTCTGATAAGGACATGGTGGTACTTAGGTGCACCCAACTGTACCACATTGCTTTTTTCAAAGTCCACAGAGTTGGAGTTTCTTGCATCAGGCCCCAGCTAAAACCAAAACCACTCTCAAGCCCCATTGGAAAAATTATTGCTTCAATTATATAAACAAGGAAAGATGATTCCTTCTCCTTAATTCAAAAGCTCAAATCTTTTTTTCCATTTTTCATCACTTTTGTCTTTACCCTCCTTCCATCTTTCTCAAATCTCAACACACATCTTTTTTTCTCTCTCTCTCTCTCTCTCTCTTTATATTTACTCTGCCCACAATCCAAATCTAGGGTTTCAATTATCATCTCTCTTTCTCTCTCTCAAATTTATTTTAATGTGGTTGAGAGTAGTTGGGGAGCTGTAACTGAGCTGAAAGTAGTGTGGTTGGATTGATATGGGTTTTTCTCATTTACTGAATTAGCCTTTAATTGAGTGTTCCATTATGTCAAAATTCACTCCTTTATGAGTTGTTCTTTTTCCTTTTTGTTCTGTTGGCGTTATTTTGTCAGGTGAGATTGGATTGCTCTAATTGATTTGATCCCCTACATCCTCTGTGCAATTGCAGAAAACCCCATGTTAAACCCTTTTTAAAGAAAAAAAAAAAATCTGTATTCCAGTTCTTGTGTTCTAATTATCTTCGTTGTTTTGTTCAATTTTGTTTCTTAGGGATTGATTTAGGATAAAAAAAGAGAATCTTTAGTTTGCATTTTACACATTATTAAGTGCATGGATGGCAGAGAAGGAATGGCTTATCCAGGTTCAGCTTCATACTACCTCAACAGAGGCGCTGGTCCCGGAAACCCAGTGCCGGGCCCAAATATCCACGGCGGGCCCAGTGGCGGCCCTCAACCAGCGGGCATACGCACACACACACCACCTGTTTTCAAGAACCTCTCAAACCCAAACATTTCGGTCCAGCCCAATGTAGGGTCCAGCAGTGGTGGTGGTTCTGCCAGTGGCAGCCCGTCCTTCCATATGGATAACCCGTCAGCGAATTTCTCCCATGGCAAGAGTATTGCTGTTGTGCCTGCTGCCGGGCTACTTGGTGGTGAGCCCGTGAAGAAAAAGAGGGGTCGGCCCAGGAAATATGGGCCAGATGGGTCTAATATGTCTTTAGGTTTGTCCCCACTTTCTGGCTCCAGGAATTCGTCCGGGAGGAATATGAGCTCGGGCGAAAAGAGACCGAAAGGGCGGCCCCGAGGGACGGGATGGAAACAGAAGCTTGCCCCTCTCGGTAAATTCTTGGTTTATTTTGTGTTGTTTTGAGGTATAATCTTGATTTTAGTACCATATGTTGCAGCTTCTGAACAATGTGATTAGACATAGATCTTATGGTTTTCACTCTTATCTCTGGTCCCCTGGGATTATTATGTTTTAGTTATTGTTACTTCAACCTCGAGCAGGGTTTAGTAATTTAATTGAAACCTTTGAAGTTTGAACTAGGAATAGGTTTTTTTTTTTTTAATAAGCCTTGATGTTTAATTTATGTATGATAATGAACCGTATGATTGAATGACTTAAGGCTACGTTTGGATTGAAAGATTTATTGAGGGATTTGGAATTTATAGTTTTCAAATTTACAAGTTCAAATCCCCATGCATGTTGGGATGGTAATAGAAGTTGGGGGATTTCATATACATGCTAGATAATTTTTAGTCATTATTTTGAAAGATTTTAAATGACTCATCAAACATAGTCATTTGAAATCCACTGTTTATCAAGTAAACAACGTTGACGATCGCACCGTCCGCGATCATTTAGGTTTGTCACCACCGCGAGCTAGACAATGGATTTATAATCATTTCAACAAATCCATTCGAGTGTGCAAGTAAAAAAATTATATTTCAAAAATTTTGAAATCAAGGGATTTCAAATCCCTCAAAACAAACTTAGCCTAAAGGAATTGTAGAAATGTTATGTCATGAATCGTCTGGATTTGAATACCCCTTTTTACAATATCATATCTCTAATGATACTCTAATTATATGTCTATATTTTTACGGAGATATGTTTAACATTCTTGTCCTTGAAGAGTTCTTTTATTTGATCAGGTGAGTGGATGAATAGCTCAGCTGGACTTGCGTTTACACCACATGTCTTGCGAGTCGCTGTTGGAGAGGTTTGTGTCAAAACATGTTTATGTGATCTTCTTGCTAAAGAAGTTAGGGTGCATTTGGACATGCTTGCTATTAGGAGTAAAGAGTCAAAGTAAAAGAAACTAAATATGATTATGTAGAAAAACAAAGAAAAGAACACTAGTTCTCCAAGAACACGAGGTTCTCCTCAGTAAATAATCCCGCCCAAACTAGAAAGCCGTAAAATAATCTTATTTCTCTTATGCCCTACACAAAAGACTAAGGTCTCACTTAAATAGAATACTAACCTTAAGAAAATAACCCTAATGGACACCTTAACCTTATGGACTTGTAGCCCACTAATTTATTCTAAATAATATGAGAACATATAGCATGATCTGTAACCCTTTCATTCAGTAACTGTGAAGTGATGATCATTCTTTTTTTTTTTTTTGGAAAGAAGAATGAAGTTTTATGAGATTGTGAATGGAAATGAAATTGAAATACAATGGTTAAAGATAATTTCGTATAATAAGTTAATTGTTGGTGGGAGTTTTTTGATTGGCCGAGTGGGTACAATTTTATGAAAATAGGTTTCATCATAATTAGTGATTCAATTATTTTCCTTTCTTGAATTAATTAGTTGTCATTTCTGGTGGGTGAAATAAAAGTAAAATTGTGTGAAGAGTGTAATCTGCTGGAAGATTGAACCAAAAAACTCAAAAATTTCAATCGGGGACGGGATAATAAATTCCCTAATAGGTTTCTGCTTTCATCAACTTTCTTTAGATTTTCAAAAAATTAATACTTGAGCAATTTCTTGCAGATCTGATACCTGATTGGTGTTTAAATATTTCCTTTTGTCGAACCTTAAGTATTTTGATTCAATAGGTTTTGACATGCTACTGAGTTGATTAGACAAGCTCTTCATTTTGCCTTGGGTTTTTTATGCTGTGTATTTCCATGCTCCTCTAATATGTATTAATTTCTTTTAGACTAAACTTGTTCTCTTTTTTGTTGCAGGATATTGCAGCAAAAATACTGGCATTTGCACAGCAGAGGGCTAGAGCTTTATGCATTATGTCGGGTAATGGTTCAGTTTCTGCACTAACATTACGTCAACCTACAACATCAGAGGCAACCGTCACTTACGAGGTTACATATAATCCAATACATCATTTTCCTTCAGTAATTGTAATTGAAAATCCTGGTTTTTTCTTTATTTATAATTAGCCAGATCTAACAATTGGTCGAGTGGAAGCCGAATTCTTGTTTCCTTCTAGGATGTTCACCTTATTTGTTTGTTAGCAGATGCTTTCATCCCTTGTAGAAGATGGTAACCGGGTTTGGAAGAAAAAAAATAGCATCTTATACTAGTGAAAAAGAAGATTTTTATGATTGATGTTTTTGTCATGAACCCTGATCAGATATTGAAAGGCCTGTTGTGCTTGATTCATATGTTGATTTCTAGATATAAATAATGGTCAGGGTTCATATGATCAAATATTGAAACAAGGCCAGTTATTTACCATCTAATATCTCAATTAAAAATACAAAAAAAATACTTTACAGTGCATCTAACATTTAAGATTATTGAAAGAGGTTATGTTGATCGATATTTTCTTTATAGGGGCGTTTTGAGATACTTTGCTTGTCTGGTTCTTACTTGGTAGCTGACAATGGTGGTCCCCGCAATCGAACGGGTGGTATAAGCATTTCTGTTAGCAGTCCAGATGGGCATATTATCGGTGGTGCAATTGGTGGTAGGCTAACTGCAGCAAGCCCAGTGCAGGTATATATATTTGACTGTTACTTTTCCCCCCAATACAAGTAAAAATTCCTCCTTCCACTCTGTGTAGTTACAATCTGAACAACAATCAATTGCGTGGCGTTTGAAATATCCACTTCTTCTTCTAGTTTTAGTTGTCATACATCGTATGAAAGAGTTTCATGAGTTTTGATTATGATGCTTTCTGTCTGAAGGTGGTTGCGTGCAGTTTTGTATATGGCAATACTAAACCTAAGCCCAATTCAGACTCGGGAGCTCCAAAAAACGCGTTCGACCAATCTGCCGAGCAACCTCCTTCCCCAATCACGGGCCCTTCGGTTAGGATTTACAATCCAAATTCTGGACCAAGTGCTTGGCCACCGGGTTCACGCCCAGAAGTGAAAAATTCCCAGACGGATATTGACCTAATGCGCGGATGATGATTCAAGAATACAACATGCAACATGAGCGTTTCTTTTTTTTTTCTTTTTT